ACCTACCCTACCTCCGTCGTCGTTCGTCGTTCGTTCGTTCGTTCGTCGTCTACCTACTACTACTACTACTACTATAACTATATACTACTACTACTACTTCTCTCTCTCTCTCTCTCTCTCTCTCTCTCTCTCTCTCTCTCTCTCTCTCTCTCTGTTTGTGTGTGGGTTGGGGGGGAACATGTTTGTGTCCACTTTCACTATGGAAGTGGACCTATCTATAGCAAGGTAAATATTAGAAAAAGTGATTAAAAAATCACCAGGCCATCTAGGGACTTGACCCAGATCAGATCAATTCCAAAGTAAAAGCCTTGGAATTTCCTCAAATGTACCCCCTCTTCTTTATTTTCTTTATCAAAAACTCAAAGGGCCTCCTGAGTAGGACCACGTGACTTGGGCTCAGAACCTTGGCAAGTCCGAGCCCAAGTCCGGGCTTTTAATCACTGGGCCGCTATGATATGACATTACTCAGTGTGACATTCCAAAAAAACACATTCAAAAGATTTTGAGTGTGCAATATTTAACACCATCCCATACACATATAAGTGCTTTCTTGCATTTGTAATGTGTGTGTGCACGTGTGTGTGAGAGAGAGAGAGAGAAGTAATTGAGAAGCACGTTTCCTAAAGTTCGTATTTAACATTGTACTGTAGTTTATAATATCTATTGTAGTTTGTTGCACAGCCATCAGTATTGCAGCTACTTGTGTACAAAGTTTTGTTTATTTTCTCCAGATAAAAAATTTGCATTAGCGTAACATGAATGACAGATATGACGGTGAATCGTACCGCTAGCTCTCTTCAACCATTATCCCCCGCCACCTCCAGCATTATCTCCATCCCTGTTGCCTCTGCCGCCAACCTCGCAATATTATTCAAATTCTCTCTTGTAGGGGTCTTCCATCACCAGAGAGATGATGCCAAAGGGCTAGAAGTTTGGGCCAGGGAGGTTTAGAAGGAACCAAACTTGAAATGCAGACAACTCTCCGATGGATCCTATCTGTTTTCCTTCCCCTCCCTCGCAGGGGGGGCCCAGAGAGCATTTAGTGTATCTTCCAAGGTCTCTTTTAGGGGCGCTATCCTTCATCTGTCTTTGTGGTCCGAAGAGTTGGGTGCCTTCCAGTGCCAAAATGTTTGGCTCACGGCCACCTCCATCCCGCTGAATGCTTGGTGCCTCGACTCCTTCAAGGCAATCAGGAACGCTTGCGGATCTTTTGTGGCTGTCCCCTGGAAATCCATGGACAGCCTCCCACTTGGGTCCTTGAGGCTGATCATAGACATGTTGGACCCTCTTCTCATCCCCCCGTTTGTGTGGCTTGAAGTGGGGGGAGTATATTATCAGGCTCTCTTAACTTGGTCTGCGGCCTCCCCTCCATTGCCCCGCTACATTTCTACGGTAGAGCAGTTCCGGTCCGGATCTCATAACCCTTGGACCGTGGTGTCCATTAAGCAACGCAATCTTAACAAGTGGCACCCCCCTCCCCTCCCCCCCCCCGCCCCACCCCACCCCACCTTTGCCTCCACCACCTTCGCCTCCACCACAGGCTCCTCCCCTCCCCCAGAGTCTCAACCCTCCCTGCCCCACTGCTCCGTCCTCGACACCCGCCATAGCCGCATCGGTGACAGTATCGCGTGTCAAGGAGAACACGCATCGCCCTAAGCCTATCTCGAGTCAGGTTGAGCCCACCCGTTCCTAGCCTTGCCATCTTGCCTTCTTTAATGAACCCTACAACCAGCCGCCCTCATTTAATTCCCTCACACAGTTGGCGCATGTTTTGGTCTCTTCTGACCTCACGCCTTCCCACTCCTCGTACCGCTCTACCTTACCACCGCCATTTTCGCCTTAGACAAACACTTGGATGCACGTCTCCCCTCCGTCTGCACTTGTCACCCCCCCCTCTTTACCCGAGGTCCCCAAACCCCCGGCTTCGCCCACCCCTCTATCACTTATAGTCTTTGACTCCCTACCCTTATCCTCTCACATACCCATTCCCGCTCTCAATCCTTTCCTCAAACAGTCGCTCTACCTGTCGCTGCCCGAGGAAAGACCACCCCATCTTGAGCTATGCTTGCAAGCGTTGTCGGAGCCTTTTCAGTCTCCCCGACTTTCGCGTTCACCCACCTTGGCCACCCCTTCTGCTCCCTGCCCCCCCACTCTATCCTTCACTCCCTCTCTCACCCCTTTCAACTCAAGCCCCTGGCACCCATCTTCACCTCACCACCCCTCTGGTGACCCTTCTCTCTACCCCCCCTCCCCTCATCAACTCTGGCCCTTCTTCTGTTGCAGTGGAGGATTCCAATGACTGCCCTGTTCCTTCGGTAATTCCTATAGCCGTTGAGCCACCCCTTGACCTGAACCCACGTTTCTTCTCTCAGGTGGTAGCACATGTGGCCTTTTGGCCGATGCTTTGACGGCCCTTATCAGCAGCGACCCCTTCATTGTTTCCGTTCCTAAAGGAGAGCATGGCTTTTCTAAGCACTCAATCCCAACCTCGTCACCCCCTTCCCTCAATCTTGCTCGAGTCAGGACGTCTCTCACTGATACCAGCGCTCCTACGCTTAATCCTCAGTTGCGCTCTCTGCCTCATTCTCCACTTTATCCTCCTTCATCTTCACCCCCATTTCCCCTTCCTTGTATCTCTCCCCTTCATTCTCCTTCGCCTCTCTTGGATCTGAAGTTTTCCTCTTCAAAGGATCCTATTGGACTGACATCCGGCATCCCCAAACCCACTGCGGATAACAGCCTTCCCTCCCTGGGTTTACCGGCCTCTCCTCCTGTCGTTGCGGCTATTTCGCCTACTCGGTCAGCCTGGTCTTTAGACTCTTTCGGGGACCCCCTTTCCCCCCCTAGGTGAACTCAGAATACGCTGACAGTGTCGAGGCAGCACAAGGTGATATTCTCGATATCATGAACGTGATAGGTTTCCCTTTTTCTAGACCCAATGGGCTGTTTCAAGAGTTCTTTAAGGCCGACGTACAGTCTAAACTTAGGGTTTGCAAGAATGGCAGCCGAGAGCCTTGGAACGTGGTCAGTAGTGTTATCTATGACGAACCCTCCTCTCGTCTTTCAGTCTCCCCTGCTATCTCGCAAATGTCCCCCAAGGGGTTCCCGCTAAGACGTTCCCTATGGAGCTTCCCTCTCTCTATCTCCCCCTCATGTTGATGATACTTTCATGGAATATTCACGAGCTCGGCATGCCCAACAAAATGCAAACGGTTAGGGATCATTGGTTCAGGCTATGTCCCTCAATTTTGGTGCTCACCGAGACCAAACTACCTTGCCCCTCCCTGGTGCAGGTTAGGCATGTGTGGGGTCGGCACCCTTGCCAATGTGTTGCCCTCCCGGCTACCGGTGCCTCTGGGGACATCTGGGTCAGTTAGGACCCCACTGCCCATTCTTTGGTCTCCTCCCACACTGTCAGGTTCTTTGTTTTGATTTTGCTTTCTAGGTTGCTCGACGATCTCCAGTGGAAGTTTTCAGCCATCCATGGGCCTAATGGCGACTCTCTTAGATCCGAACTCTAGAACGAACTCAACGCTATAGCCTCTCTCCCTCATCCCATTTGGTGCTTGGGGGGGGATTTTAATGTCACCCGGTGGTCTTTTGAAAGGAACACTTTTTCAAGGATCACCCCGACTATGACAGCTTTCTCGGATTTGTCGACCGGCTCAACCTCATCGACCAACCCACTCAAGGGACCCAGTTTGCATGGTCCAACCACTCCCCCTCTCCTACCTTATCTAAACTCAATCGTTTTCTGGTCACTTTAGAATGGGACCGCACCTTCGCGGGGTCTCATGTGGTCGCCCTACCCAAACCTACATCCAACCACTACTCCATCGTGCTCAATACCAATCCCGTCGTAAGAGGACCTAAACCATTCAAGTTCGAGCTGGCATGAATAGAGGAATCTTCTCTTCTTGTACACCTTCTGGCTTGGTGGCAGTCCCTTTTGGGATTGGTTTTCAGATGGGCAGGCTTTAGGATTCAACGTAATTCCAACTTATGAAGATTCCACCTTAAAAATTGGAGCAGGCAGCTTCTGAGCTTCACTGGGTCCCACAAAAGTTCCACTCTGGAAGCCATTCAAGCTCTAGCTTCTTAGAAGAATCGAGGCCACTATTTGACCCAGAGACCAAGAGTAAAAGCCAGCTTAAAATGGAATATCAGTCTATTCTCAAGGAGGATGAACTTTTCTGGTATCAGAGATCCAGAATTAGGTGGCTTAAGGCTAGGATTTAAACATCGGTTTCTTCCATAAAGCCGCCAATTGTAGACGTAGGGATAATTCCATTTCCCATCATATGGTGGGGGATACTCTTATTAACCAACCCCTTGAGATTGAACTGGCCAAACTTTCTTACTTTAAGAACATGTTTTCCGCCCCTAATCGTCCTATACCAATCATGGGGGACATTTCCTTTCTCTCACTCCCTCCCGATAAAGCCTTCTGACTGGAACGACCATTTTTGGAATCTGAGATCCTAGAAGCAATTTCACATTCATACTCAGATAGAGCCCCCGGGCCGGATGGGCATCCTATAGCCCCTTTCAAACTTTTTTGGGATGCTTTTCGAATTGATTTCTTGACCCTCTTTGAAGAATTTCATTCTAGGGAGGTTATTAGCCTAACTATGATTGCCACATTCCTTACTCTTATACCCAAAATTGAAGGAGCCAGACAGCTTAAAGACTTTCGCCCCATTAGCCTGGTGAATTCCTCCTACAAAATCATCTCTAAGGTCTTGGCATCTCGATTCAAAGAGGTCCTCCCTCTCGTCATCTCTCCTTCTCAAAGTGCTTTCATCAAAGATCGTTAGATCCTTGACGGGGCCCTCGTGGCTCACAAGTGCATTCACTCCAGGTACCTTTCCAAAGAACCAGGCATAATTGTCAAGCTCGATTGGGAGAAAGCATATGACCATGTTGACTGGGATATCCTTGAAGAACCTCAATTGAGGATGGGTTTCAGTATTAGGTGGAGATCTTGGATGAAAGCTTGTTACTCTAACCCCTTTTTCTCCATCCTTGTAAATGGATCACCCAAAGGATACTTCCCCTCTTCCAAGGGACTTAGGCAAGGCAACCCCCTCTCCCCCTTGTTGTTCGCCATTTCAGTTGAAGTCTTTAGTCAGTCAATTTCCAGGATGTATTCAGCGGGACACTTGCATGGGTTCAGCGCAATAACCGCAGTTTCCAGGGAGAGTATTCTCCATGGTACAAGACGTTTGTCATGCTCAAATCCTTGGTTGTTTTTTGGGCGACCAATTATCCGCTGTTCAAAGGGCTACCGGCGACGGCTTTGCATCAGAATTGGACTGCTGTCCTTCAACACTGACACACTCGCCCTGGTAGGTCTACTACTAAAGGCCCCCACCTCTGGAATTCCTCAAGCTCAACTTCGATGGATGTTCCTTTGGAAACCCTGGGCCTTCGGTAATAGGAGCAATCCTTAAAGACTCCCTCGGAGAGATGGTGGCTTCAATCTCCAAATCCATTGGACACGCCGACTCTATGGAGGCTGAGGCGGCAGCTCTGTAGGAGGGGCTGAAGCTCATACAACCCCTCAATCTGCACTCCTTACACAGAGGGAGATTCCAAGAACATCATATAGTGGGCCTCGATGCAACCACCCCCCCCCCCCAATGGTTCCTTGCTCACTATTTTGACGAGATCCACTACCTTGGCAGGGATATGCACATCATCTGTGCGCATATTTGGAGGGAAGGGAACAAGGCAGCAGACGCGCTTGCTAAAGAAGGAGCAGCCATGGAGGGACACTAGCAGTTTTTGGATGGTTGTTTTTTCTTTTGGGTTGTTCCTTACCTTCCCACAGAAGGATCTCCGTCTGCTTCCTGTTTTTCTATTTTTTCCATTGGAACGTCCGTTGTGTGGATTACCCAACCGATTGTACCTCCTTATTCATTTAATTCAAGGTTAACATTCTCAAAAAAAAAACATTGTATTGTGGTTTCCGTTCTACTGCATAAAGTTTATTTCAACAAACCAGGTATAGGATCTTCTGTATCTTAACACAATAAAATAACTTTGTTTTAGGTAGTTCAGTGTTAGGATTTGAACTTGAGATATAGAATTGCTTATATCAACTGCTAACCAGTCAAGCTCAAGCCCAATACCTAAAATTTAAAACCCATAGAAAGTAATCATACCATTTCACACTCGAAGAAGAAAACATAGCACCACCAACTATTATCAGTATTATTATTAATTGATAGAAAGCTATCAGGAAAAAAAAAATTGGTGTAAATACCTTGGAAAGCTTTTCACGTGCTTCTAGAGATAAAGTCTTCATGGCATTATAGTCCAGGTTCTCTGGAATTGGCTTATGCTCTTGATGCACAATCTATACAAAATTGGATCAAATAGTAAGAGAAATTGGAGTTAACGAAGGTAAGTTAGAGTTAATCGGAGTATACAATAGAAAATGGGGCACTATAAGCTATCAAACCAACTAAATGAAGATGTTCAAAGAACCTGTTGGAGCTGGCTCTTCTGACGTAAAATGAAACCCTCATACTTTATATCGATTTCCACACATTCTTTCTCCTCCTTTGATAGAAGTGGATTCCCATAGCCGTGCTTATCAAGAATCCCATATTGTATATGGGGTTTCTTCAAAATAGTCTCCAAAGAAGTAGACTCCTTCACAGGTTGACCAGACAACTGAGTAATTTCAGCAGCCATTTCTCCACTCCCTTTACAATTACATAGACGAGGACTTGTTAACTCCAATTGTAGCTAAGATTATTTATTGGTTCCAATAAGAATAGTTAAGAGTTACTTCACCTGTTCCTAATGAGTATACAGAAGAATACCATAGTCCAATGAGTTCCAAAAACCACAGTCCACCGAAATTTCAAAAGATGTTCATGAACAAAATGGACTATGGTTTTCCATTGAAATTTAGTAAACTTACCCTTAAGTATATGACAATCCTTTCCCAAACCCAAGCCTTGAATAAAACCCATGATACAAGAACTACAAGCAATATGTAAAGGAGAAGATGGTATGCAAGTCACCTTACTTGGTCAGAAGAATCTATATACACTATTTTTTTCACCAATTGGCGGGGTTTTGTGTGGGAAACCCCACCTGTTCTATTTATTTTTATGAAATTAAGGGCTCTAATGGCTACTGTATGGGTGTTAGTTACCATTACTCAAGTTCAAATTCCATCCAATTCACTTTCACAAAGAAGAAAAAAAACAAAAAAAGAGTGACCTGAAATCCGCACAGTTCTCATGCGCTTTTTCTCATCTACTATGTGGGCTTGCTTATCTTGATACACTTTCCACCTTCGATCATCTATCAAACCAATTTCCCGCGCCAATGGTGTGAGACGGCTGTCTGCATTATCAGCACGAAGGAGCAAACGATGCTCTGAGCGACTGCCAAAATACAAAATAAAGTCAGTACACAGACGAAGAGCTTGGAGGGGGGTGGTTTGATTTAGCGTTTATAAACACAGGCTCAGGCTGGGACTCTCCAGGGTCCCCAGCCCAACTCACCAGTCTGGCTCGGGCAAGTTCCAAGTTGGACTGGGTGATTTTAATCAAAAATATATATATCCAACTTTTTTGAAAGAAGACTCGGAGCGTGTCCGAGGTTTTGCATCGTAACTCACCAGCGCAACAAGCCGATCCAATCGGTCAAATCCCACACCGAGTCTCCAAATTTTAATCACTTGTTTGAATTATTATTCCTAATATTAAAAGATGCCCTACATTCAGTATTCTTTTTGGGCCTGTGTACTTTGGTACATTTTCATGAACTGCAATGGTTCAATTAGGTTCAATAACTGGGTGCTTTTCAAATTCCATTCTTTGAAACCGAAGAAATTTTAGTAGTTTCTGTGTTTTCTTTTTCTTTTTTTTCTTTTAGTAATGTCTGGGAGTAGGCATTAATAGAGTAGCCACTAATCCTAAGAAGTCACAATTATTCATTGGGATCATTCATTATCATTCCACATGAAATCACAAAAATAATCCATGTTGCCAAAATAGAATGGCACCGTCCATCAAGTTGAGTCCTTCCATGAGACATCTCAAAGAGGCTTCCTATGTGGCGATAAAAGAAGTTGATGGACAAGCACTAGCAGATATAAGTGTAAAAATTGTATTTTTCTTGACGGAAAGTATACCATAATGCAATGAACTGTCAAATTCCCCCATGAGGCCGGTGTCCTTCCCATCCAATGAAATGGAGGAGAACAGGATCCACCAAAACAGGACTTGAGAGCAATGGTCAAACCTACTTTCTCTCCTTCACAATCAAGCATTTCACTGGATGGTGATGAATGGATAATGGCTTCCCTTAGTACATAAGATAATAGCATTGTGTCGGGACTCAGGCTGAGTCCACTCGGACTCAGCCGAGTTGCCCCGAGTTGTATGAACAACTCGGGGTTAACAAAAAAATTTACAAAAAATAAAAAAACTATAAAAAATCCCGTAACTCTCTCAAACCCCTTTTTCATTCCACCCCCTCTCTAGCATCTTTCCTCCAAATTTTCCCTCTCTCACCCCTCTCTCTCTCTCTCTCTCTCTAGAGCATCTTTCCCCCAAAACCCTCACTCCCTCATTCTCTCGTACACTGTAACCCCCTAAAAATCCTCATTTCCTCACTTGTCAACCAACAAGACCCCAAAAATGCAATTGGGCACTCTCTCTTTCTCTATGGCTCACTCTAAAGCATCTCTCATCCTCATCCATGGCGAGATGCTTCTACTCTCTCGACAACATCTGTCTCTCTCTTCCACATTGACTCTTCAGATCTTGATTTGTGTGTCCTTCTCGATCAAGGTTTGACGGTCTTGAAAGAGGAGGGGATTTTTTTCTTTTGGAGGGGGGGGGGAGGGGGAGGTTGCTATGGGAGACATGGCCTCCATAGAAAGAGAGAGAGGAGATATAAGAGAGAGAGGGAGGGGATGTGGAAAATGTGGCCAAAGGGAGGCCACATGCCTTGGCACATAGCCTGGCACCTGTTTCCCTTCTTTTTTTTATAATTCCTTTAACTGTTTATCCTTTCTTTGTTGAGGCATCCACCACTAGGTCAAGTCACTAGAACTCGCCCGAGAAATTCTGTTCGGGTCAAGGCTGAGTCCTTCGCCCAAGCCGAGCTTCAAAACACTGGATAATAATAGTATATTTTCCCTTATTTTTCTAGGAAAATATGGGAATAGGACAATAAACATGACCTGATTACCTAGTCAACATTCGGTATGGCTCCCGAAGATCTTTGGTAACAAGATCATCAATCAAGGTCCCTATATAACTGCTTTCTCTTTCTAGAACAAAAAGGGATTTTCCATCTGAATGCCTTGCCGCATTTATTCCGGCAATAATACCCTGTAAAATATGAAAACACACCTTTGTTATAGCAAGAAGACGAAAACACACCATAGCAAGGCTTAGTTGGAAATTTAAGATCACATCGTATATGGAAAAGTTTCAGTGAGTCTGCCAACTCATGCTTCCGCCTGGGTCTTGAAGTGTTCTAGATCCCGAAATCTGCATCCACTTTCATGAATTTGGAGCTCCAAAAATAGTGAGTGATTGAGGATCTTCTAAAAAAGGGTACAATATGGGTATTTGTAAGGCTCAAAGTTCCATCTTTTTTTTTCAAACTCATGATCGTGGTGGTCGAGATAATAGAATTGTAGAGTTTTGGATCCAGAAGCCATCTCAAGATGGAATATAGAAGGGTGGACACACTACAATATGTGTCCCCCGACACACTTAAACCCCAAGCATTATACATCCATTAAGTACTAGTATCAATATCCATATATCGACGATAAGCAATCTTGGGTGAAGGCATCTAGTGTTCTATTGGAAGCCTAAATCAATTTTCAAACTAATGATTCAATGATCTCAACTGAAAACAAAACAAATAAATTTACCTAGAAATCTAGAAGGCTATCCAAGGACAATGACCTTTCAACTAAAATAGACACACATAAATGTACATAACGAAATTACATTGAGAATCCCAGAAGACCTCATGTAAAATACCTGAGCAGCAGCCTCTTCATAACCTGTAGTCCCATTTATCTGGCCGGAGAAGAATAATCCTTCTAATTTTTTCGTCATAAGAGATCTAGAACATTGATGTGTAGGTAAAAAGTCATACTCCACAGCATAGGCAGGCCTCAGCATTGAACAGTTTTCAAGTCCAGGTAATGTTCTCAGGAGTGCTAACTGAAGCCTCTCCGGCAGACCTGTAGAGAAACCCTGTTTCAGAGAAAACCTTTGTATTGGGTCAAGAACAAAAATAAGATTTCCTCTGTGCATCACGCAAATATCATACATTTTGCACTTGGGTTTGTTAACTTATGAAAATACCATAACCAAAACGGGGTACTTCCGGACCTTACGCATTTGGGTAGTAAAAAATAAAAAATAACTGTTTGTAAACAAAAATCAAAGCAAGTAACATGAATTTTACAGCTAATGAATGTTTATGTTAATGCACCCAATAAAAATAGTAAAATATATGGATGCATTATTATCTATTTGTAATACTTGTTGTGACCGAGAAGTAATGTTATAAGTGAGAGGGCTACAGCTGAAGAGACTCAATCTCTTTCTTAGGATAACAATATATATGTGCATTGACCCAAAAAAAACAATATATATGGGGATGGTCTTCAAAGAGACCATTTATCTTTTGTACATGGAGGTCACAATTATTCCCACTCATTAGATATTAATTTGGATGGCTTGCAGTGAGTCATGAAGTCCGAGAATTTTTTTCTAGAACTTTGTGTCTATTCAATGACACTCCTCTTACAACCACCCATTTTGAAATTTAAGGGACAAGAATGATATGACCTCCATGTGCAAAAGATAAATGGTCTCTTTGTAGACAATCCCATATGTATACGCGCGGCACACATGTATTTACATATATACATAAGTATATATGCGTGCATGTAATTTTGTGTATTATATGCATGTGGATAAAAAGATATCGAATCAAACCTGTACATAAAGCTCTGGTACGGTACGGCCTTCCGGTTCAAGAAATATTTGATGTGAGTCTTTATCTTGGAACCTTACAATCTGAGAAAAGCCAAGCCATTGACAGTAATTTAATGACCATGGAGGGATACCAACTAAAAGGTCAGAAACAAAATGTCATGTTCTAAATTAAATCCTCAACTGCATCCAGAATATCATCTGAAGGCATCAAGTTTGCTCAACTACTATCTCAATGGAAGCTAGATAGATGTAATCGATCTTCATAATTTTAATAGAAAAGGGTCCAAATGATTTAACATATATATATATATATATATATATATAGTAGTGATTTCATGCAACGGTTCTTAGTAATATAATGAAATGATCTTTAAAAACCATGTTAGGGCTATTTCTTTGACTTTGATTTTAAAATATACACTTCTTTAATTCCAATGAACTATCAAAAAAGCAAAATTTGAAAACATACTCTAAAAGGTAATTTTTTAGCCCAATTAATATAGGCCATCTACTTTAAGGAGATGCTTAGATCTAGGCCCTATAAGGATTCTTTTTTCCTTTCCAAAATTTTTAGATAATTTTCTTATCATTAGATTAACAATATTAAAAAAGAAAAAATTGATTTTGAATTTGTAAAGACCTAAATCTTCAAATTCATCAAATGGATGATCTAGATTCAATGTTTTAGGGAACTCATTTTGACCATATTAAGGGTGCAAATTGAATTTTATTTTTCTTGAGATTGATTATAAGGATGAAGAGAGTGTGTGAAAAATTTGGGGTCCAATATATGCCATAAACATGCCTTTTTACAAGTGTTATTTCATTATTCTATAATGACAAGGTGACATGATATCATTCCCCATATATATATATATAAAGAAAAGGGTCTCCTTAAGTGTATGTATACATGTGCTTATATGAGTCATCAAGAATTTGAAAAGTAAAAATCAACTAGGTAAATGGTGCATTCCTACCTTATCTTCTATAGAAGGGCAATATCTGGGTCCCTTGGCTTCAACCCAGCCCCCATATGTCGGGGTTTCATGCAAGTTTTCTTTTATAAGCTGGTGTGTTCTAGCTGTAGTCCGAGTTAAATAGCAGCACATCTGTTCCCTTTCTATGTGGACCTCAGGATCAAAACTGAACCAGCTAACCTGTTCAAATAAATCAAAATCAGAACCACAACCACATTATCACCATCCATCAAATGATTGATGGTGATGTAGAGAAATAGGGATCCACCAGAACGAGAAACGATCCATACTATGGATCCCAATCCTTATCGATCTCCACCCATCATTTCGTCGAGGACGATGACCCAATAGAATTATGATTTTGCAATACTCCATTAATTATCATATATTCCCCAGTACTAATTGATTCTAGACAACCATATATCATATTCTACACAAGGACCTCTTAAACAACTATAGAAAAATATTCTTAGCAACTTATCACACTCAACCATGAAACAATCCATTGAAAAAATTCCAACACAAAAGGCACACAGATAAATGTAATGGCTACTGCACACGTGCTGCACAAAGCTATTCGAAAAAGAGAAAGAACAAAAAAATAAAAAAGGAATAAAACAATCATTGATGGATAATAAATAAAAATCATATTGACATCAGAAAAAAGGGATGGACATTAACAGATTTTGATTTTGCAAAGATAGAATATCAACATAAGAAAGGCATGAAAAAATATTGGACAGAATAGTTTATAATGCAAAGATCTAAATCTAACCTGCAAAGAAGAGAAAAAAATTATTTCAAAAAAAAAAGTCCAAAGCTTCTCTATCCTTGATGTAATTCTATTCTTCTATTGTAAGGCTTCAAGCTTTAGAACAATCAACAATTAAAGATATGTAATGGCTGATGGGGAAACATAATCTAAACAATGCTTCGAAAAACTTTTTTCTTTTGGGTAGAACTGTGGGGAAGAACTTCCCAACCCAAATGTCAAGAAACCTAAAGCAATCGAACTAAAGCTTCTTATGATTAAAAGCATGTAAAAGTTTGTGCAAATTTTGGGTTCATCCATTCATAAGAGCCTTTAATTGTCCATCTGCTTCCTATACTAAGAAGACCCATAGTGAGAAAATGAGGCACCTTTGGAAAAGTAGAAAAGTGACGGGGGGGAAGATGGATAAAAATTTATAATAAAAAGGATATGGACTTAAGACTTTAGATAGAGGGATGGTGATTTAGAGAGAGAGAGAGAGAGAGAGAGAGAGAACATAAATTTCATGGTTCACCTTATAATGATACTCTGCATAGAACATATGTAACTTACCATAGACAATTTCATGGAAAACTTTGGAGAGATAAGGACGTCTGCCTGCACCTTTTTAGAAGTAAACATTATTAAAAAGAGAAAATCAAGGAATTGGGTAATTTAAAGAGGAAGAGGGGATAATTAGGAAGATATTATTAGAGGGGTTAATCCATTAGAGGAAATTCATTTAAATCCAGGTCAGAAGATGCTATTGAGTAAAGAGAGCCAAAATGGACCAAAATCAAAGTAAAAGATAATGATCCAACTTTGTCTTACAAATCTAGGATAAAAACTTATGTTGTTATCTAAACCTTCTCAAGTACTCTACCCTAAACTATCTTTCTCTAGAAGTTACTCTCTTGGTTGAATGCCATGGGTCGTACCCACGGCTGTAGATTAATACATATAGAATAAATACAATATTATAGTTACAAGTAATAAAAAAAATGAAGCAAGGACTTTAAACTTTCACTTAACCCGTTCCAAGCCTGGGTAAAGGAGGTGGGCTGCAGTAGGTAGGCAGCCAACATAAAATTTTGCCACATCTTATCATGAATCTTGAACCTATGTTATCTTACTAAGGGTAAGACCCTTGATAGAGAAGAATGGAGGAACAAAATTCACGTAGCTGACCCCAAACATTACGATAAGGCTTAGATGATGATGATGTGATCACAACATGGTCATAAGTTTGATAATTGTTGGCAGATTTGCAAAAACACTTGCATGCAACAGCAAATGCAAATAAATCAATATGGCAGCGAAAAACGAAGGGAGTTTTTTTAACAAATCCATGCATTAGGGCCTTACAAGATGTTGGAGGCAAGATTCAGCAACCCGAAAGGTATAGCTGACCACTGCCCAACCCTAACCCAAATTTTTGAACGTTTAGCTGCCTTTGACAAGGTTGTACCAGTGTTTTTAAACTCGACAAGTCCAACTTGGACTATCCCAAGTGACCCAGCAACGAGCTCGAAAGTCTCCAAAATTGGGGGCATATATAAGTGATTTATATCATTAATTATAATGGATTTATAATTGATGTAAGTTTTGACTAAATCAATTACAAACAATTATGTTACAAGATGAGGTACCGTGGTGTATGTTGTTCACAGACAACATAGTTTTGATTAATGAGACCCGAAGTGGCGTCAACACAAGGTTAGAACTTAGGAGGGATGCTCTAAAATCTAAAGGTTTTAAAATTTGTCAGACTAAGACAAAGTATGTGGAATACAGGTTTAGTAACAATAAGAGTAGAGACAAGGAAGTAGTTAAGATTACCAGCCAAGAAATACCAAAATAGCGCATTTTCAGTATCTTGGGTTGATAATCTAGAAAAATGATGAGATTGAGGAAGATGTCTCACATAGAAATAGAGTTGGGTGGGAGAAGTGGAGATGTGTAATTAGAGTTTTATGTGACCGCACGCATTACCAATGAAGCTGAAGGAGAAGTTCTATAGGATAGTTGTGAGTCCAGCTTTGCTTTATGGGGTGGAGTGTTAGGCAGTCAAGAAACAACATACTCATAGGATGAGTGTTGTAGCTGAGATGAGGATGTTGAGATGAATGAGTGGCAAGACAAGAAAGGATAGAATTTAAAATACATTTGGGAAAACTTAGGTGTGGCTCCAATAAGCGATAAGACGAGAAAAAGTAGACTTAGGTGGGCTGGCCATGTGCAGCATGGTCCCAATACAGATGTTAGGAAGTGCAAGTTAGTTTAAGTGGAAGGCTCAAAAAGTGCAAAAGATAGGCCCAAAAGGACAAGGTTTGAAGTAGTAAGAAAAGATGTGGCGGCTTATGGCCTCACTAAGGGTATGGCCCTTGATAGAGCAGAATGGTGGACTCAAATTCGTATAGCTGATGAATCCAAATAGTTGGGAAAAGGCTCTGATGATGATGATAATGATATACTTCTTTGAGGAATTTTTTTCCACTTATTTTGGTCCTTGGCTTTTTGGTCGGTACGGCAGGAACTTGGACGAGCCGACTCAGACTCACCTAAGTAACTCGGTCAAGCTGGGGACCAAGTTGTAAACATCGAATTTAACCATCGACCATCTTAGCACTATAGGCATGGTTATCTCCAATTCCCAACACATGCTTCACATGAAAACATGCAAATAAATGAAACTAAAACGCCACAAGGTTCAAAAGGGAGATTGATGAGGGAAGTTAAACCCACTAAATGAATGCCATCACTTATAGCAGTGAAGCTTAACTTTGATGGACCAATTAACCAACAAGGAAGAGCTAGGGTGGGAGGGATTCTCCTAAGCTACTCAGGTTTTTAACATGAGTGCAATGCTAGCGATGCAGAAGCATGACTTCGTTAACTAGGGCAAGGAACTTTGACCCTAGCTGGGGTACATTAACCATAGAAGGAGACTCCACAACAAGCTTATTACCGGGCTAGCAAAAGAGAGGAATATCCATGGAGGTAACAAAATATTTTCAAAGACATTTTTGCTTGCATAAGCTCAGGAAGTGTTATTTCCCACCATGCATGGAAGGTGCCCAAAGACTTAGCGCTGACTTCCTGGCAAGGGAAGGAAGGTCCAAAAATCCAAATCCTCATTAGTGGTAAATTTCTAAGGATACACACTTTGATCAATGAAAATTCTTGACATTCAAAACAGAGTGAGAAAAAAAAATGGACATAAGATCATCATTGTCCTATCAATAGATTGGGCAGTGATGGAGGGGTATAGATCCCGCCACACATGTATGTCATGCCCTCCCTCTATCACCAATTGAGAGTTGGTGACCCTTATGACCATGTTGTCACGATAACCACATTAACCATGCTATACTCTTCTAAATAATAAAAGAAAAGATATAGGCAATGACCTCTTCATCCCCAGGTTGGGGTTCCAATCCAGAGAAGTGAACAGTTCGGCAATCAACACGTGCAGGAGTTCCAGTCTTTAACCTATCTGTTTCAAACCCCATTTCTTGCAAATTTTCGGTGAGTCCCTGACAAGCCGACTCACCAGCCCTCCCAGCTGACATAGATGCTTTACCAACCCATATCCTTCCACTCATAAAAGTCCCAGTAGTGAGTATCACTGAAGGAGCATAGAAATTCACGCCAAAGAAAGTCTTCACCCCTTCCACATTGTCATTCTTCCCAACCAGAACCTCTGTTGCCATTGCCTCTCTAATCCAAAGATTTTGGGTGCTGAGTATAAAATAAAATCACACCATTAGCCAGAAATAAAACCGCCAATTTGTTTTAAAATCTTTTTTCTTTGGAGGGGTGTGACCATCTTTTTCTAAAAGGTAGATTTCTTAAATTTGTCGATAGATAACTTTCTCAACAAACAAAAATGGAATCCCATTCAATGAACATGCACAGTGCCTCTTTTGTCATGCATCTATTTGCTTTGGAAAAATCCATAAAAGTGGAGTACGAAGACAGTCTTTTAAGAAAAGCTCAATTAATTTTTACAGAATAACTCCTTTGTTTTTTTGTGGCGAGTTTGGCCACCCAAGTTTTAAGCTTTTAGCAACCCATAAAAAATAAATATATAAATAAATAAAAGAACTTTACTCTGCCACCCAAAACATGGGAAGTAAAACTAGCCTGACAATTTTTATTTTGTTGCACATTGTTTCCTACTGTTTTGGGTGGACAACTCCAAACAAGGGTGGCCAAGCTAGCCCCCTAGAACTTTTTAGGAAATTATAGGAATGCAGAAAGTTTAGAGATGCGTACAACTGGTTTTAGAGACTTGAATTTATTACCTTATATTAACAAGCAGAAACAATTATGACAAGGAAAAAGTAGCAAGAAACAATTTCTAACACATACTTGCTAGGGTACCAAGTAAGAGTCAGGCCTGACAGACTTGGCCAAGTCTGTCTGAGACTTGGCCAAGTCCAAGAAAAAACAAAATAAAATGTGAGAAACCGGCTGGGCTTGGCCTTTCCATGGGTTTGGTTGCAAAACATCTATAATGTAGTATGTTGGAATGGCAACATGGTATGTTGGAATGGCTGCAATCAACTTAAGCTATGCAAGTTAATCGCTTTTCGTGTCACTTGACGATACAGGCTCACAGTAACCTTCACTAAAAGTTTGCCAATATTCAGTAATAAAACCTTTCAAATATTTAAAGAAAAATATTTAGTAAAGTTTTGCATCACCTTACCTTTCCACAACTTTCTTCATTTCCATAGCATATTCCCTCTTATCTGTTTGTGCACGTAATGCCCTAACTGCAGGACCTTTTGAAAGGTTAAGGACTCGTTTTTGCAAGTAGCACCTGCAATTAAGAGAATACCCACAATGACTACAGAAAAACCCACCACCATGACAAGTGGAAAGAAATATTTATGGTTTCTTTAAAGTAGGATTTCAGTAAGCAAGATAAAATAATGACCATGAAAAATCAAATGGGAATCTGCATTACCAGATCCAGATATACCATAAAACAAACCACTAAATAATAGGAAGATTTCCATTTAAATTAAGTACTATGCAAAATGTTGGATAACATTTGAAATTTCATTTTACACCAATCACAAAAAGGAAAAAAAGAAAAAAGGAAAGATTGGCATCTGACAGTCAAATTACAACTCTTTAATTAAAGTTGTCAGACAAATAACTCTGCCGACTGAGAACGGCCATGCAATGACATCCATGTCTTCAAGAAAGAGCTCTCGGTCTGTCGATTCTTACTATGCTGGACAGAGCACGAGCGGTTTGTCTTTCATAAATCCAAGATTTTACATATGAAAAAGGAATGACCCCCACTGTCCCTCTTAATCAGTACTCTGATCCCAAATTGTTCTTTGAAAAAATTAATAATACTAGCCAATAATAAATAATAATAATAAGTGTAAGCTGTTCACCATTCTTGGGACATATTTGTAAAAAGTTGTAACTCTCTGCACAAGAACGGCCATGGAGCATCCACAGCCCATGTTGGTCATATGAAAAGGGGAATAAACTTTGTGACTTTGCAAATAGTGAGTCTTCTTTTCTGTTTATGACAAATTAATAATCAAAATAGTAGATGCAAGTAAATTGAATAAAGGAGGACTACAAATAATACTACAATGGCAAAAATTCCACCTAACCTAAATCTGGAGGAACTAAAGGAACAAAAAGTAATCATTATGATGGACATGCATTCACAAAGACTAACAGAGATATTGCGAAAGGAAAAAGAAAGTCGATTTGGGGATGCCATCAACTGGGTGGAAAGGTTCAAAAAATGGAGAAATGGGAGAGATGATGTAAATCCCATGCAAGGAACCAAGAGATTCGGAAATCAGACACAAAGTCAGCCAACTCATGCCTAAAATACATGATCCATCCCAAGCTTAAGAATGAAGATGAATTATGATGGTTGCTCCATTAGTCCCCCAGGTCAAGGATATGTTGATTGATCTTGACCAAGGACTCATGCCCCAGTTAGAAGTGCCTTGTAGGTTGCTTTATAGCTCCTCATCATTGAAGAGATGCACTTTGTGTGATTAGACAGTTCAAGAGTGGAAGAGGAATCAAAAGCTGGAGGTTACAGCTGGGGAAGTTTTTTATCATTATTAGAGCTCATTGTAACTCATGGTCAAAAGGAGATTCACCTACTCTGTCAATCAATGCAAATTTGGAGTTAGGATATTTGGACTTTTATAACATATATCACTGTTGTTGTAACTTTTTCCTCAGCTTTGTATCATTCTTTAAACATCAAAATTAATAACTACTTATCAAAAGACATTTGCAAGGACATAAAACTCGTTCACCACATTCATAACAGGCAAAAGTCTATAAGCACGTAGCAGGGCTAGTCTTAAGATGTCTGTTCATCTATAGGCAAACTAACCACCAAGCCAAGCGTTGTCTTATATGTTTTAAATGTTGGGTAAGTACCTATCAGCAATTTTCCCAATTTCACCACCAAGTGCATCCACTTCATGAACCAGTTGAGATTTAGCTGGTCCACCAACTGCTGGATTGCAAGGCTGCAGACAAATAAACAAAACAACCACATTCATCAAACATGCAAGATGAAACATTTAAGTTGCTCAATTTACAAAGCATGTACTCTATTAGAAAACTATCTATACGGAAATAGTTATCATTGAAGTTTCTTGGGGGTAAAAACCAAACACCAGATATTCTATCCAAAAGTGCAAAACATATGCAACAAAATAATGCAGTGATTGTTAGGGGCTTTTTTGGGGTATGTTGTTTTTGGGTGGGGGAGGGGGGGTGAGACTAGAACAGGACATGACCCAGCAGTTGTGCCCCACTCTCTCCCATCACCATCCATCATTTGATTGGAAGGTGACAGTCCCAGTGGACAATGATTGTCACAGTCCATTGGATAAGAATATGCTTGCCCAAAACTTAAAAAAACTAAGTTAAATAGCTAAGGTAATCTGCAGATTTTTTCAGAAAGACTAGATCAGTAACAGCTTTTTCAGAAGATTTACTTTAACATCATTGAGACAACATGGACGTCAGCTTATATTAATTATGCACCTCAAGTGCTATATAAATATGCCCTTGGTTTTAACAGACAAGGCCACTGATGCGTTGTTCATTTCCAATTGTGAATATTTCAAGCTTATCAGTGAACAAACATAAATTTAGCAAAAGTAATAATGAGACAAAAACTTATAAAAGAAAACCTGCCATGCAATACGATCAAGATTAAGTGTGAGAAGGAGAGTCTTGGCACCAAGACGAGCAGATGCAAGAGCAGATTCACATCCTGCATGGCCCCCTCCTACCACAATTACATCATATCTTTCTTCAACCATTGCAGCTGAAAACAAAGTAGTTACATTAGATTTATAGGAAAGAAGGTTGGATAATACTTCTGTGGCTCTTGCTGGAAGTTAAAGCACAAAGAAGTAAATAAATAAGACACATTCAAGAAGCAATGAATTTATTTTTAAAAAAATGGTATTTTAGAATAATGAAATGACAAAAAGAGAGACTAATAGATATCATTGTAAAATCCAATACAATTTAAAAGGCATAGAAATGACGCATAACATTTATTATCACATCACCATCACGAATTTTCAGGTTCAATTACCTTAAGACGTGGGAATGAAAATTAAACTTAAGCGTTAAACATCTTTCATATTGCATTAGTTTATTGCTATTACGGTAAAACATTTACTTTTATGTGCTAGTTCCTACTCTTTTTGCAATTTATTTCATTTCTTCACCGTTTACAGAGATAACTAGAAAAGACTCATCACTCAGATCTCTATCAAGCCTCCGGTTATACACCTAAATCATATATTGGTCAACTCAAGGTTATTGTGGCAGTAACATGGCCCTTCCCATTAATCAGATAGGCAATTCTATATTTTTCACCTAACATGGTTCCTTCACAATTCCAAATGATTTCTAGTTCAAGCTACAGATAACTTGTCATAGGGGCCAATATCAATATATATAAGAACCAAAGAAAAAAAAGTTACAAATAACTCGCTTGTGAGCCAGCATAAACATGCGCATCATGAGACCTTTAACATCTTCACCATCCAATATCCTTTAAAAGGACCTAGAAATAACAAGCTGATCAATAAAAAAGGTATGAAAAAACTCCACAACCTTTTTCTGAGATGGAAGCACACTGCCTTTAAACAATGCCATAAGGTATTGTACTTGTGCCTCTTAATTTGGTGTTATTTAGAAGTATAATATCTTGAAGATCCGATTTGAATATTGGTGGGTTCAGGTCTCTAGATTGAGGTGACCAATATTCCAGTAAAAATGGATCCTGGTTTACAAAATTAGTTTATTCAAACACTTTCATATTGATGGCCATTATGTGTTTGTAAAGTCTGTTTGGATACCTAATAACAATGTAAGTCACCAGTAATATGCAAAAAAAAATTAAAGAAACAAATAGCATGCTTCATAAAACATGTTGCATCACATTTTTATAAACCACTGGTCCAAAATATGGTAGGATTTTGGTGCACCTTAGGAAGCTCCTATTCTAATGTGTCCAACTTAATCCATCTTGGAGATGGATTTTGGATCCAAAACTTCACAGAAATATCACCTCGGCTACAAGAATAATGAATTTGGAAAGAGAAAAAAAATATGAGCCTTAAAAATGGTCCATCTTGTACCCTTTTCTCGTACCGATCATTTCAATTCGTCAAAGATCATCCGATCTACATTATTTTTGAAGCTCCAAATTCATGAATCTGAGAAGGAAATGGATTTGCAGGGATTAAGGATGTCTTTCGGGGTCCTAAACCCCTTGAAAACCGAAGCGGACACACAAGTCACCTTCTTGGGCTGTATCAATTACTCACTAATGTCCTCCAACCAACAGGCTTGTGAATACGTTCACCCATTCTCTAATATGCATGTTCTCCAAGAACATTAGTACAGTCTACTCATGCTTAGGAGCCATTTCCAAAGTAGAATAAAGAAGGAACGCTTTGCACCCCCAGTTTGGTCCGCTGGCCATGGTTAGCTTGTTTTATGACCCTTTTTGATGAGAAAAAGGCGATCTTTCTATGTGTCTCCAAAGTCCAAACACACATAATTTATATGTCTTCAAACCCAAATTCATCTAATTTTGATCAAATAGTTGGGAATGAGTTGAGAATAATGTCATAAGTTGATGTTTTACGTGTTTTTTAATCAAAAATAATATGTGACATTGTTGTTAGTTCTTACATTTGTCCAACATTTAAACATGTTGGTATGGAGATATATAAAAGTCACCATTAGAAAATATTGCAAGGCATGATGAAATGTTAGCAAGTCCAAAAAAAACCAAAACATGTTTTTCCTCAGTTCATGTTTAGGCACCATGGATACTACTACCTAATGAATAGGCAGTAGGTCCAAAGGCCTACTAAGTTACTTTGAATTTGTTTCAAGGTAATGAACCAATCCAAGATGATAAACACCCCATACAGTGATCCAAAATAGACACAGTTACCTATCAACCTAAAAAAAGTTTTCACAACCCATGTGTCAAAAATGATTCTAATTCATTCATATTGTTCAAAAATCAAATTTGATATTACTTCACAAGCTTTGCCCAATAGATTACCAAAATCCAAAATTAATACATTACCATTTCAGAATTTGATGCAGCGATCCGTAACTCACCCGAGTCCACTCGGAATCAGGCCAATTTCTCAGATTCACAATATGGGCGAGGCTGAGTAGGGGTGAGTTCCATGGGCAACTCGCCCCACCCTTATTAAGGAGGGTGATTTGGGATGGTTTCTATAGTTTTTAGGATGATTTCTATAGTTTTTAAGGTGATTTCTATAATTAGTTTTTAGGATGATTTCTATAGTTTTTAGGATGATTTCTATAGTTTTTAGACTGCCACATTGCTTACAATTAGTTTTTAGGATGATTTCTATAGCTTTTAAGGTGATTTGGGAACTTTCATATTTCTCCCTTTTTAAAATTTTTTCAGAAATATTCGAGATCTAATCAAAATTTTCAATAATCATCTTTTTTAGAGTTTTTTCACCTTTTTAGATCTCTAATGATTTCTACTGCCTCTTATATGTTCTTTCTTATTTTTAACTATTTAAAAAAATGCTTCTTCTTTTCTTTCTCTCTTTGCCCTTTACTGGCGTTGTGCAGGACTCGGCTGAGTCCACACTCGGATTGGCCAAGGGCCGAGTCCCTTGGCTGAGAGGAGTTTCTGAACACTGATATAATGGAAAGAACGTCACACACCCACCAAATCCATAGAACTTGATGCAATGAACATCGTAAAATTGCTCAAGCATAAATTACACTAAAAAATACAATTTACCCATTTTTTGTTGCCATAAAACTTGCAAATGCTATTGTTATGAGCCATTATCATAAAATTAACTCTAAACTCTGAACCAATCACCATGAAAGCAAAGACCGAATAACATAGAACAAAGAAAAACCGCTACATGGATACGAATAAGGCAAATGGGGAGAAGGAAAATTTGTTCAAACCTCGCGTACAGAGCTTCCTTTGAGAAATAGAACGAATCCAGTTGTGACCAAGCCTCTGGTTCATGCTCTGAACCTTCCTGTATTGCCATGGACGCAGTATGGCAGGAGAAGCAATGAAAGGTGAAGAGAAGCACGACATTCTGCAAGAAATGGGAATATGGAATCAAAAAACCTCCATTTATATCCACTTTAATGGTTTACTTTGGACTCAGAGTCGTGGTCATAGGGACAAAGATTGAACACATAAACTGAAGGCTTGCAGCATTGGAGCAAGTTTACGAAAAACGAAATTCAAGGGATAATTATCGTTTTATTTTGGGAAAAAAGGAAATTCAAGAGAGAATTATCACAATTACCCAAAAAAAAAGGGGTAGAATTATCATTTTATTTTGGGAAATAAATAATAAGACAAAAACAAAACAAATCCATATTTCAAAGTGAACAGCTAATCAAAATGGAGCGCATATATTAACAAAAATAATCAAGAATCAAGTTAATACTTTAGTTCACCAATATTCTAGTAGACAATATCAACATTAATATATTGATAATAATTAGGATTATTTTATATTAATATATTTAATATAATATACTTTCTTTCATGTTACAATTAAGAAAAATTGTTTCATGCTTGCTAGACCTCATTTATAAAATATGCAGTCCGAAGGTATAAAGCATCCATCTTAAAAGTCTATACAAAACATTTGTGGATGAAGGTCCAAATATTTTTTTAATATAATTATTATTTTTAATTTTTAAATTTTATTTTTTATTTCACATTCATGATCTTTATATTAAAGATTATATATTCTCTAAAAATTAAAATCAAATTATATTTTAAAAAAATATGTATTGCCAAGCCTGTATTTCTATGAGCTGGCCACATAAAAACCGTACCCTATAATTAATATTAATATTGTACATCATTAATAGGTGCTAATTATTTTATATTATGAACCTTTAAGTATGTTAGTTCTCTATAGAATATTATACATAATATGTGTTATCTACATACGCTAAATATTATTAAATAATTGAGAAATTTATTAAATTATTTATGAGAGTTTAACAATTT